CTGTAAGTAAGCATTTCACTGTAATGTCTGCACCTGTTGTATTCGGCGCATGTGACCAATAAAATTTGATTTGATTTGATTTGTTGTCTTTGTGCTGACTTGCTGTAACTCCGTGGTTCTAAATCAGTAGTTGCTGAGTAAACAGTGTAAAACATTAACTTGCTGCAGAGAACATGAACATGCTGCAGGTCATAACTGTCTCCGGTCCTCTGTCACAGTTTCTCTCTCTCATTCTCCTCTTTCCAACACTCCCTCAATAGAAGACACATAAGAGTAGGGAGTGGGAAGAGGAGAGGAGAGGAGAGAGGGGGAGCAGCCCACCCCAGCTACACAACACAATAACACTGATGACTCAACCACACACAACATAAACACAATATTCACACAACACAATAACAAAACACAGTATGACTCAACTACACAATACATAGAAAAAACATGACAAAACCTAGACAACACAGTAACGAAAATCAAATAGGCATTCCATCCCACGGCCAAAAGAAACACAGTGAAAAGCATAAAGTAACACAATAAAATAAATATAGCCTTGTAATACAGTATAACATATGCCTTAAATCAACACAAGCAAGGTTGCTGACGTTAGGAGGAGTAGGAACAGTCTCTCCAGGTACTGAAGAGTTCTTTGGAGAAACCCAATGCATGGAACAGCTTTATGGATCACTGTCTGGAGAAGAGGAGGAAAACAGTTATTATACACACACACAGACCCGCACGCACACTGACACACAGGCACACTCACACACATGCATGCACACTCCACAGGACGGTGGTGGTACCTGAATTGGGGATGACGGGCTCATAGTAATGGCTGGAACAGAATGAATGGAATGGTATCAAACACCTGGTTTCCATGTTTGATACCATTCCATTTACTCTCTTCCAGCTATTACTATGAGCCGTCCTCCCTTCACCATCCTCCTGTGATACAAATACACTGTTATTGTCACCCGCACGGTGCCTTGGTGGCTGTATCCCTCCCCATTCAGTCAGTCTCTACAGATGACCACCACTCCAGCCAGAGGTCTGCCCTGGGCGTCAGTCTGGCAGTGCAATAGGCCAACACACTGGGCTAGGATATGTGTGGAGAGTGAGAAGGAGACACAGTGATACATTATTGAAGCTTGAGGATGAGGTTGCCTCTCGACACTAATCTAAGGTCCCTCAGTTTGCATTTTCTCCCTAGTTGTTAAAGTCCCGGTGCCAGGCCTGGTGGATCAACCTCAACCAGGAGTTACATTGACAGTGAACATACTGTATATGACTTGAGTTGAATGAAATGACTTGATTTACACTGAGTGGATCCAGTATATCCATGGTGACCCCTCACCTCTACTCTACACTTATCAGTGCTCTGTGTGTGAAGGTAAAGCAGGAAGTCTGTGTCAGGAAGTCCAGCCCCCTCAGGCCTTGTCATAGTCAGGTTTATGCAATGCGCACTGCAGAGAACACCGGAATAATAAATATCGTAATGTTTGTTTATGTGTCAATTAATCCCATATGGGATGGGTTGCCAACTGGCAATTTGACCAAACAAAAATAATTAATTAATTCATACTATGCTACTAGTACTATAGCATCTCTGGATTCGGCAGTCTCGTCTAGATAATCATGGCATTTGTAGTTCTTTATTATAGCCACAATAACAGCTAATTAGCATTTCATTTTTGAGGGGTTTAAAAGTCACCTTGTCCTAGAGAGATTTACACAGTTATCCAAACGTCACGCCAGAGTAAGCCTACACAAATCACAGGCCTTATTTTAAGTGTTTCTAATATCCCCTATGGGAAAAATTAATGGTGGAACCATTTCCTTGTTTGACCGATAGGTTTTATGGGTATTATGACTCATACTGTGGTATGCTATAGCAGTAGATAAGCAGATATACAGTACAGAATTCTTAGACTTTAATTATATATAAGTCAGACCTATTGGCAGCGCTGGCGTTCCTCCCGATGAATTCACAGTACTTGTTGATGTCTCTACTGAGCAACAGACGACCAGGGACTCTGTTCTCTGTAGGAACAGATATTTTAGATATTATCACCACCATTAACACATATCAACACGCTCACAAACACACAGTGACACAAAATAACACGAACATTCATTAACAAACCAATCATACACATAATACGATCATACAGTCACATAAACAGTAAATAAACGTTTAGAAAACACACAGCTAGCAAAGAAAGACACTCATGTCTTGTTTACCTGACAGTAAGCAGGACACGATGCCGACAGCCTCCCTGACGGCTGGCTCCAGTCTATCTCTCTCCACCTGAGACAGGGCAGGGCGCTCCCGCTGAACCCAGGTGTGGATCCTGATTGGCTGTGGAGGGTTTTTGGGTGGAGCCAGCTCTCTGAGCTTTCTGTTGTGTCTCTGGGATGGAGGGTGTTGAGGTGAAGTTATGTCTCCAGGGTGAGTCTGACTTCTAGATTCATCTGTATCCTCTGAACTTCTGAGTTTGTGGCCCAGTGTTTTAGGGTGAGGTCCATGTTGATCAGTGGGTGTGGTGACCACTGTGACTGACTGCTGAACCTCATCAAAGATACATTTCTCCAGAGCACCAGGGAGCCATTTGACCATCACCACCACCGTCATCCACACCCATGGCCTGCCGAGGGAGGGGTGTGAAGCCATAATCATAGCCCCTCCACAGGAGTCACATCTGAGGGAGAGATAAAAGAGATGGGATCTATAGGAGTGACATCAGTATGACATCACATACAGGAGGTTGGTGGCACCTTAATTTGGGAGGACAGGCTTGTGGTAATGGCTGGAGTGGAATAGGTGGCATGGTATCAAATACATCAATCACATGGTTTCCATCTGTTTGATGCCATTCCATTTGCTCCGTTCCGACCATTATTATGAGCCATCCTCCCCTCAGCAGCCTCCTGTGACATCAGCTGTAGATATATGACAGGCTACAAGAGAATCATAAATTAATTGGGGGAAAAGATGTTCAAACTTGGTTGAGAGATGATTTTGGAGAGAAATCCTTATATCTCCGGGCAACTAGTGCTTTTTTAACATATTATGAAGGAGCATTGATAGGGTCTATGAGAGGTTCTCTCCTCTCCCGTTAGAGTAGGATGAGGTTGCCCCTGGACACTGATCTAAGTATAGTATTTATGTAGTAGTGTATGCTGGCGCCATTCTAAAGCCTGATACACGCTCAGTGATTTTGGAGAGACATCCATATCTCCAGGCAACTACTGCATTTTCACAGTCCACTTGGTCACTAATGCACAGTTACCTCAGCCTCACGCCGATGCCGTCGAAAACCGAGAGCTGAATGTTCTACATTTCAACATCTTTATCAGTAAATTGCATTACTTCCCGACTCCCTCCCGACTCCCTTCAACCACTTCTAGTTCTTCTAAAGTCCCAACCATTCCACTGCACCTGTCTATCCCTCCTCTTCCTTTGACAACCCAGGTATTTAATCCACGTTAATTGTCATGGCAATCCGGGGATCTTCTGGAGAGACTGATGTGACGTGTCTTTGATACATTCCCAGAAGACCGAGAACAAAGGAGCTCTCTCTCTCTCTCTCTCGCTCTCTCTCGCTCTCTCTCAATAAAGGCTAGAGTCCAAGTAAAAGTGCAAATTGTTTAATCTCTGTGGATTGTCCCACTTGCTATTACATGAATAGACCCTTTCTCTCTCTCTCAGTTTAATA